GGGGGAAAAAAAAGCAAAACATACAGAAAACAAGAAATGGAAGATCATTTGCTAATAATAACATGTTTGTTGATGTGCTTGATTGAGACAATATACAGTGTACTCTGGATGGAATAAAAAATATATATATAGTGAGAAGCAAACAATGATATCACACTATAGCTGGCTGCAACTCTTTGTTAAAAAGGAAAATGAGTAGGCCAGCAGGTTGCACAGAGGTTAAGGCAGCTTGATCTCACATGGCTGACTGCTCAGTTTGGTCCCAGACCCAGCACTTTGAAAAACATGCCACGCATGTCCTAGCACATGTACATGCGTGTGTGCCCAAAATCCTGAGAGGAGAACAGAGGAGAAGGGATTGCTGTGTGGTCATCTTCCGGGGGGGCGGGGGAGGCAGGGGGGACGGGTCTCTCCAGCAAGTGCACATGCCCGATAGAAAAACCTTACAGAAAAAAAGAAAGAGTGGGGGAGGGAAATTAGCAAGTATGAGAGACGCACACCACCATAGAAACTGAGTATTTTTCTTTCACATAATCAGAAAGCTGAAAAGGCGATTGAGAAGAGAGTGCGGTTCTCAGTGCGTGATTCAGAGTTATTCAAAGCCACGTCCACAAACCAAATTCTCCCCCGCCACTAGCAGTCTCGCGTTCTAGCTTCTGGGAATAACTACCCTCAGATCTCTCTGGACCCGAGGAGTCCCCTCAAGTCACCTACGGCATATGTGGTGAGCCAAGTAGACTGACAGCTGCTTTCACATACGTGACCCCATTTCACCCTTCCTGTGACCTCGTGTAACCTCCAGAGGTCAGCATTATCCCCATTTTCCAGACGAGGGCACTCAGGCCCAGGGTGGTTAAACCTCGTACACAAGGTCGTACGTGACAAGATCATGGGAAAACGGAGCACCGACATTTGATCCAGGTGTGCCTGGCTGCTGCGTCACCACACCTCCCTGTTGTGGCACATCACGGCATCCGCAAATGTGAGGTGCCCGCGTGGCGCCTGTGCTCCTCTGGTCTCAGCTTTTCTCTCTGACCCACTGCCTCACTCAGCAGCAGATACCTGAGTACCTGGTCTATGCCGCGCCTGCTCTCGGTGCTGGGGAGACAGCATGAACATCGTTCTCAGCTCAGCTACCGTGACACGCGCTGCTCGGGTGCTGCTACTCGGAGGCCGAGGTTTGGTTCTCAGCCCAACCCGGAAGAGGCCAGCTGAGGAAATGCGACCCGGATGTCCAAGCTAGCTGAGGCTTGGGCAAGGGGATTCCCAACACCAAGAGACTGTCAAATATATATATATTTCTCTCTCACCTCCATTTTCTCTCTCTCTCCCTCCCCTCATCTCTCTTATCAATAAACAGACTTTAAAAAATTATTTTTGGGGAGGCCAGCAGGTGGCATAGTGGTTAAGGTGCTGGATACTCCCATGTGGCCGACCATGGTTCGAGTCCTAGACCTGGTGGCTTGCTTTCTCACTTTCCCTCTCTCTGTCTCTTTCTGATCAAATTAAAATAAAATGAATGAATAGGTAAAATGAAATAGGGACCAGCACTTAGAGTAATGGCCATGTCACTGGACTCCCATGTAGTTGACCGCGGTTTGAGTCACGGACCCGGTGGCTTAAACTCACCCCAGGCGCATGTGCATGTACGCCCAAGATCCCAAGAGGAGAATGGAGGAGAAGGGATTGCAGTGTGGCCATCCCCCCTGGGGGGTGATTTCTCGCTTTCTGTCTCTCTCTTTCCGTCTTTCTGGTGAGCACACAAACCCTTATAGCAAAAACCTCACCAAAAAAAGAAAAAGAAAAAAAAAGAAAGAAAGAAAGAAATCTTTTTTAAAAATGTTTTTGGAACACCCTATAGCAGAGTGGTTAATCACTACATATAGAGAACCAGATCCCACATAGCCAACTATGGCTTGAATCCAGCCCTGGAGACTTGAGAAACATACCAGGTGTGCCCAAAATTCTGATGAAGGAAAGGGATTGTGGTATGACCATGCTGCTCCCTCTCTCTCTCTTTCTC